CACCTGAAGAGACCTTAAATATCAGAGGCTTGTAAGGCAGAGTTCGTCTTACCGACAGGGAAGTGGGTTAAGCCAAACTGAGATGCAAGAAGATTAAATATTCACGGGGAAGTATCATAAACTGGCACAAATGATCATCGCTCCACTGCTATCAGTGGAGTTAGGACAATATCCACTAGCTGATGGACTAGCTCAAGTTTTCCAGTTTAGGCTTTCTGGTCAGTCCCTAATGGTCTAAACAAAGTTGTCCCTAAAGGATATCCAATGCAAAACTATAGCTACATATGGATACATACATATACATATACACACATATAGTTGCATTTTGAAGAACTTTTATCTCTTTTTTCTCTCTACAGTACCAACCTTAGAAAATTCTTACGAAGCCACAATGTAATGAATCACTAGCCAATACAATGAAAAGGGCCAATACACAGTATTCCAAAAGGAGAGATAAAATAACTCTCTGACAGACATTTTTAGTCCTTCCTGCCATCAGAACCCTCTTTCTTATTACATAGCACAATTGATTATCACGCTTTTGAATTGTAGTTTGAAAAGAATAGAGCTTAAAGAGCAGCAAGAATGAGGTTTATTAGTAATGAAAAATAAGGGTTGGAACATGCTGATTTTATAGACTTTTCTTCTAAATGGGAAGCATTACTAAATCATCACTATTATTTCATTTAGAAATTATTTCACTGTGACATCAAGTGCCAAAGAAGGAAAATCAGTTTCACATCCTATTAACTAAAAAAACAAGGTCAGGAGGGAAAAAGAAAAAAGGATAATTAATTTCTAAGAGTAATTACAAGTTGGGAGATATGGTGAAAAGCATGTATTAGTGAGGTGTAACATTTCTCTCTCTGCTTTTTTCTTCCTTAAAGCTATGCATACTTTAATTTTTTTTAATTATAAAAATGGGAGGACCTATTCAGTACCATCTACATCATTAAGTAGTGGATAACTATTGCTATTATTTAGGCATTGCATTTATAGAACTTAAAGAAACGACCTCAACTGAGTATTTAAACCACACAACTGTAAAACATGCTGTGGCTCAGAAATAAAATCACTCATCTACCCTTAACTTCGACTCAAGGGGAACATTACTGAGAAAGTCACAACAAGGTGGCATCCTTAATACATAATAATGACACATGCAGGAAATGCACCATTATTTATACATGTGACGTGCTGTAAATTGCTTCCATCATCAGAACTAATTGTAGTGATTATTAATGCAGTGTTATGAACTGTCAGAATTGCTGTATGTAATTACATTTGTGCAAATGCTTCATTACCTGCCTAATGAATTTGGCATATATGCACATGTAAACCACTGTTTTTGTTAACATAATGAAGGGCATTTTTTTCCCTCTCAGCTACTGATGTGGAACCGGTTTGACCTATATTACAAAGTTCAAGCATCCACTGCCAAAAGACCCCCCACCCTTTGATCTGGTTTATTTTCGTACTCAGCAATAGGATCATATAATGTCAGCTACTTAAATAACAGCTTCAGAGAAAAATGATGTCCCCGTTATTCAGTATAAACAGTTGACCAAGTCAAAATCACCTTCGTGCGTGGTTACCTGACCACTACTTCTTGCCTTCGTGTGCATCTCTAAATAGCTGCAGAGGACGTTGACACAGACGGTGAGGTCTCCAGTACTGACTGGGTATCTGCAATTCCAGCCTTGAAGGCCAAACTTGAGTCTCCCAGCAATGCAAGTGGGAAAATAGCACAGAGAAAAAGGCTGCTATTTTATCTCTGGTGCACAGTTCAAGGGTATCCTGTCAAAGCAAAGGAATACATTTATCTAGTTAACAACTGGCGTTTCCAGCTGCCAAACATCCATGCTAGTTTAATATTTATTAAAAAGCATACTATTCCTTCAAATTTTACATGCACATTCCCAAAAAGTCATGCTTGAAAAGTGAATTTTGGTCATTTTTCTTTTGCATCCATTCTTTTTAATGTTAGTAAAGAATCTTGTCAAAATGAGATTCTGTGTAGTGTTTTATTTAGCTGTTTTTTAAATTATGGAGAGAAACTACATGGTGTTTTCCTATAAAATCTGCAGGAATTCATTCTTAATTCTTTGACATTTTTCCACATTCTATTTTTTAGGTTAAGGGGTAATTAACGTAACAGTCTGACGCAAAATTATTTTGAAATGTACACGTGTTGGAGAAAACGTAGAGAGAGAAATTGTTAGCTGCCAAAAGGAAATAGCTCATCCTTAATTGAACAACAGGTAGTAAAGTCTGAGCAGAAGTGAAAAATACTATATCCTACAGAAAACTTTCCTTAGGTCAGAATCATGAGCTTACTCATGAAAATTAAAACATAAAATTTTATCTTAAAGAAAAGAATTACAAAACAAGAAATTTATTCCACCTGAATTAGGTGCAGTTTGATTTTTCTCATTAAAATTCTTTTTTCCAAAAAATTAAAATACCTTAACCAGAAACGTATTAAAGATAGCATCTGCATACGAATTTGTAGTAAACGTCAAACACCCATGGCTAAAAACATCACGTTTAGAAATGAGCTAGCTAATTAAAATAGATATATAAATATCTATTGAATTGAACACAGTCTGAAGTGGCACAACTGCACACAACATGTCTTTATTAAAAGCTTTGTCCAGCCTTTTCAGCTTCCCATTAAGAACACTATTATAATGAGCTGTAAACAAATGAAAACAATTGCTGCAGTAAAGGTTGTCTATGTAGCTACAAAACCACAGTCGTTCTCCTTTTCCCACAAATATCTTTCAGAGTTTTATCATACCATTTCAATCAATGCACCTGCAGCCAACGCAGCTTTTGACACGGCTCTTTTAGCATTCTGTGCATTGGTTAAAGGCGCTTTCTATAAAAGCGAGTCTTACCCTTTTCATCCAAGCTCCACTTTCGTGGGTCCTACGTTCTATAAATAAATACCAATAAATTGCCAGAAAGCTAAAGTAACACCATGATGGCTGCCCTTATCATGGTATGTCACACTGACATGAATAACCTTGCTACTCCAGCTCTTCCCTGACTGTGGAGAAGCCGACTTGCACTGAGTTTGAGGGACTACCTACACTGTTACTCAGGGTAACAGTGCAGGGACAACCAGGGGTTCAGGGGGAATTAGGCTAAGCACACTCAGTGACACTCCAGTTTTCCACATTCTCATGCCTTCTTTCCTCTCAGCTACCTCTTCCTCCTGCCAGGCAGATCCACAGAACTTCACACAGGAAAAGAAAGGATGACAAAACAACAAACAGCACGCGACTCTTGCTCATAAATTCCTTTCTTTATGCCTAACTACAGGAATACATACATAGGGTACTCAGGCATTGCCTTAGCATCTGGATGCATAACTCCACTTTGTGGGAGAATAGATATGGTTGAACCTAGCAATAATTTAGCGAAGTTAGCAAGTACAAGCAAAGTTAGCGACTACCGTATAATGAAACACCTCTGACTTTAAAGTGTGGTCAGTTTTTTCATAAGACTGTATTTGAGTAAAGCTGATGCAATAAATATGCCTCTTTCTCTCTCTCCAGATACAGCTATGTATATCTACATCTAGATATCCATTAATACAAATGTATGTATTATTGTGACTCCTTTCCTCCTGCCCCACACTGACAGGAAATACGCAGGACAAAGATAGTTAAGCTCCCTGTGGCTTTCATTGCAGCGGGAAAGCACAAAGATCTTCAAGTGCTGGTCTGCTACAAAGCAGTCACCAACAATATCAGTTCCCTCCAAAGGGGAAAAAGTAATTAAAACAAATGAATGAAGAAGAGCACATCTTGCTTTTACCTGGTCAAAACTGTAGAGTGTAGCATGTAAATTATCTAGCATCCCTGTAGGAGGTTCACTGGCAACTTTAATTGAGTTCTCTAATATTCCTTGAGGAACGATGTGCTCTTCTGGAGTTGGAGCTGGTTCAGCGCTAATGAAGACATGGAAATCAGAACGACTTAATTCACTGCATTGCTCCAGGAGTATATCCAAAGTTCCTAGCCACTTGGCTACTAGAGGAATATTTAGTTGAAAAAGAGCCAATATGCAAATAAATTCATTATCCTTAAGACATTGTTATTGTGGCTTTATAAGGATGAATAGTTACTTAATTCAAAGCATCACTTTATTATTAAATAAACTGACGATACAAAGAGCAAAGCTGAGGAATCTAAGCTGCTGCCATTTCTTCGTAGCTGTTGCAATAGCAGAGTTTTTACCATAAGCCTCTAAAGTTTAAGGCCTTGATTCTGCAACTAATGAAAATATTATAAATTCAGAGTTAAGTGATCTGGTGTGCGTGTTTGTGTGAGGGGAGGTAACTCTTATATTTAAAATTAAGCATAACTTGGCAGAGCATTTAGACTCTGCTTAAATTCCCTGTAGAGCTGGGACCTAAGACAAAACATGCCCAATGCATAGCAGGATCAAGACTGAAGCAGTGCTAGACAACAAGACTGAAGCAGTGCTAGACAAAGCAAAACGGTTACAGCTATGCCACTGCTTAAAAAGATAAGTCATTCCACTTCAGAATCTTTAAGATTCTTAATATATGAAGAATGTAATGTCACTGATAGATCAGAGAAGTTATCCACCAAACTTAATTTTAATGGAAAAATATCTGCCTCCAAAGCACCTACTAGTGAAATATGGGAATCTCAAGAAAAAGGTTCAACATGGATTTACCAGATGGGCTACAGTGGCTTTCACCCCTACTTCCCCTCACATTCCACCTTCTTTTGCTGCAGTACCAGCAACTCAACTCAATTTGCAGTTCAAGCACAGGGCTTCTCTCTGGCTCTTTGCTGGTGTGCCAGAAACGGCTGATTGCACTGGCTTCCACCCCCATGTGGTGCAAGAGAAATTACAACTCCATACACCACCCAAGAAGTAAGACAAGGCAGTTGTACTTTATAGCTACTGCATCACCTTATCATGAGAGCTGCTATGGAGTTGTTCCCAAATTGCCCCTTGATACAGGGAGGAAGAGATAGGGGGACAGAAAGAGAGAGAGACTTTCATATCACATGACATGACAGTAGCCTGGCAGCACCTGCATTTCCATATAGGCTGCATCCATCCCCTGCAAAGTGAAAGTGATTAAAGCCTGAATTAACTAACAAAACAACCTTTTGATATATCACATGTCTGAGTTTGAGAAAATAATGCAAGTCACACAAAAGGTAAACCTGTTACCAAAAATTTTCACGTTAGTCCTCCTTCTGCTGATTTACCAGCCGCTGTTTCAATTGTTTGTCCTATGAAAAATTCAAACTTTTTTCAGATCATATTTTGTTTACCATAAAACATACTTGTCCTTCCTCTTGCTCTGTCACTTTCTGGACTTTCCTCAGCTTCACTTTCATACAGTTTTGCGCTAAGAGCTTGACTTACCTATCACTAAGGTCAGTAGTAAATTTCCTACCTGCTTCAGGGGCATAAGTCTGAAGTCCCAGAGACAAGGCAATTTTTTTTAGTGTTTCCCAGATAGGATGCCAGCTTAGTTGAAATGTTAGAGGGTTCTTTAATATGTAATTTATATACCTCACCCCTACCCCCCCCCCCAACAAAGATGTCACCTCTTTTGCTCCTGTTCTGGGTTTTAAGTTTTTTTTAAACATAATAATGTAGGCTATAGCTATTTAGGTCAATAAAAAGAAGACTGAAGCTTGAAAAGCACTGAGTACATGCAAATTACATTAGCTATAGCTGGCTTAGCACCATTTAGAATTTGGTGGAAAATCTTTATTCAGTCTGAGTTAGGACATTCCCCAGCCTTTCACTATCAAAAATCTTCCCAGTAAAATTCTCACCTCCCTCCTCCCTCTGAAGTGAGGCATAATGGGCTGGAAAACAGAGAAGTCCTGTAATACCAGAAATCTCTCAGATGCTCCCCATTTATTACTGTAGCTTCAGACATGCAATACTGCTGAATTAGGACTTCTACCATCTTCCATTTTCATGCCCATTCCCCACAACGGCTGAGTACCTGCAAATTCCACTGAAAACCAGCTACGTGTTTTTCCTTCACAATAATATTTCAGTGCTCGCTAATAGAAAAGCATGGTTATTTTTAGACCAGTGTGACTAGCTTACTAGTACAGCTGTGTAAAACCTGGTTTAAGATTTCTTTCATTTTAAACATCAATGAAGCAGTCAGTGTGTATTTGTTTGTACAGTGTTTAGCACATTAAGGCTCCCTGGTTGTATGATGGCTTTATTTCAGTTGGTAGACAACACTGAGTCTGGCCTATCTCTTTGTTTGTTGTGGGCAACCGGGTTGACAACAAAATGTATATGCTGCCGAGGTTAAAAACAGAGCAGGAGGGAATAACCTGGTCCCTGTGACCTCCTTAATAGCAAGGTGTGGAACCCACGTTTCTGGTACAGTTTCAGGACAAAGGGATTGTTACAATATACATTGGCTATTTAGCATTAAAAATGGGAGGGAAGCACCTTCTTTCAGTTATATTAACAATCGTAATGCTCCTGTCAACTCTGTGATTATGTCAGGAATGATAGTTTACCAGGCAATTGTGTGGCTCTCTTTGTTTGCTGCAGAGTGGGTTCTCAAACCCTACAATGCTGGTCAAAGCTGCTATTGCTATCTCTGAAGAACAGCACTTCAGTGCTAATTATACAGCTTCCCAAGGGCTAGTCAGACCAATTTTATTCAAGTCTCCATTATGGCCTGCTCAATGGAACAGGAGTTCTTAATTACATGGGTAAAGTGTATTCCTGAGGACATAATCCTACGTAGTCATCAGAGGCTTTCGGTATTCTCTCTCCTATTCCTCCTGGGAGTGCAAAGACAGTGTTACAAAACCCAAAGCAAAATATGACATTCACTCAATTAACATGATGCTTATCCTGTTACAACTGGAAGCCAAAGGGGAAAAAAAAAAGATTATTTGTTGTTTAAATCTTTTGCTGAAATCTATCACAGAATATTTGATATTCTGAGAACATCCCTCCAACTGAGTGGACAACCATCATCAGAGGGGCTGTTTGACACTCATTTGGAGAATGACCCAATGGCCATGTTTGGCAGCCTTCTCTGGGGCCTCCTTTGCAGCCACCTCCAACCCTTATCCTAAACATGTGTTACGAAATCTTCCAGAATCTATAGTGAACCCAAGCTTTTTGCCTGTTAAAGAAATAATTGGGGGAGGGTGAGTGACAGAAGGGGGGGAGATAGGTAAATTAGCAGAGAAAAAAGGAAAAAGAATGATAATGCTCCATTAATTTCACTATCACTGGTGCAATGCATATTACTTCTTCTGAAGCACTTCACTAAACTCTTACAATTTCAACAAGCAAAACTGCGAGCTCTCAACAGTGGCCTTATTGCTGGTATTAGAAAAAGCCTGCAGAAATCTGTTCCCTTGGTTTTAAGATAATGAACCTTTTGACATTTTGATAGATGTTCGGCATTGTTACTGAGCTTTAGAAACTCTTACAGGGGGTACAGAGCAATTCCCTTATAAAAAAGGGAGCAACATGTGGTAGATATCACATCAGTTTTTTAACTGATTGCTTCAGTGGGTAAATGCACAAGCCTCTCACCTTGTGAGGCCTGAGTTTAAATTGAGCACAGCGAGGTCACAGCTGTATTAACCTGGTATTCTCAGTATTGTCTGTAGGGAATAGTAATCCTAAGCATAAAGCGACAGAGCCTTATACAATTGAATATAGTTTGTATAATGACCATTATTTAGTCACAGGGGGCACAAGATTACATGAGCATGGAGAAAATTGCCCTCTGGCCCTCATCTAGTCAAAAGGTAGAAAACAGTACAAAGGAAACCTGCATTATGCCGAGCAGAGGAATGCTCAGTCTGAAAATTTCTTCATACTGTAGTGCTTATGGCCTTACACTTTTCATCCACCCCATTTAGCACGAATATGGTGGGGGTGGAAGAAACTTTAAAACTTAAATCTTCTGCTGAAAATAAATCCTGCCCAACTTCACCACAGTAATCTATACTTCATTGTAAGGACAGATAGTTCTAGAGGGCTTTGTTCTGTTTAGAACAAAATACATGCATACACATGCCTGTGTGCACACTTGCACAGAAACACACGTGTTTATATAGCTATTACATGCTGATATATTTACATATATGCCCCCCGTATCCTCCATTTCACTTTGGAGTTCAAATTCTATTTCTTTAGTGGGAGCACAGTTGAATGATCCTTAAACCAGAAGAAAAAAAGAGGCTTACCTAATGTCTCCATATCTTTAAGACAGTCTACTGCTGGAGACAGAATGAAAAACACAGGGATGGCTGGGCTGCTCTCTTCATATGAAGAGAGTCCATCCTTATGCTTTCCACATATTTTGAGCCAAGCTTTTCCTCCACAAAGTTGCTATTTACACAGAAAATATGCATGAAGCACCAAAAGTGTTCCCTTTTACAGACTTCAGTCCTGCACTACATTCTTAGATTTGAGCAGCTGACAGCGATGGTTTAACAGTTGTTTCATTAAGAAGGTGTTAGGGAGGTGAACTAAAGGAAAGAAGGGGAGCCACGCAGTGAGAACGAGACAAAAGATCAGTCCTGTTTCTGTATGGGACAGGGGCCACGTGATAGAGCACAGCAACTCCTGAATAAAAAAAGATGTCTTCAGTAACTGAATCCAAGAAAACATTGTGTGCAGGCAATACTGTCATGTAAACCCAGGACAACCGGGCAGAGTAAACACTCAGGGCAGAAACACTGCTTTCTCAGAAGTTATTAAATGGGGTAACAGCAGTGATGGTGGAGGCTGGAGGATCAGGCCTACAAGACCAGCACTTAGGTTCAAAAGATTAAAACAGTACACCAGGCAAACAACTGAAAAAAGTTTGGGTAAGTATCCACAATTAATATTTTTTGGTGTCACAGAATTTTAAGGAAGGGTGACCTGAAAAATGACCTGTCATCCCATGGCATTAGCTACTGGCCCTAATAAAATAATGGGAACTGTCACTGAGAAATACACTTTTAGCTATTAACATCATAGCTTAGTACATAGGAATTTTCTCCCTACGGACACATCCAAGCCACCCTCGCACATGGTACCATCAGATTTCATACCGAAGAGCATATGTTATTCTATCTGGATGGAGCACCCTCAGTATGATTAGTTTCTGAAGAGAGCTTTTGTTTTTCCGTTCTTGGGGGAGCTTTTCCTTTTCGGGACATTCTGAGTTCACCCACTTCTTCCAGTCTCTTGGTGGATGCTTCAATATCTTTATCTAACCCCCTGAACACATCCAGCAGTGCAATAGCCTGGAAACATACCAAAGACAATTACGGGTGGTGTATCCTCTGCATAAGTTTTTAAACGGGAAGACAAATTTTGCTACTTTTAGGGTAAGTCAAAAAGTGTAGTTTAACCCTATCACAGGGGACTCAAGACTTGCTTTAAAATGCAAATTTACATACATATAGATAATACTAAGAGATTACTTTGGTCAGTATCACCATACTGCCTACTTAGGATTAAATATCAGCATACCACAAATTGCAAACTTTGCACTAAGCATTTGCTACAGTAAGGAGCAGTATGAAAATCAAAACTATATTCCGATGAGGACTGGACAAATTATGGTAAAACAGAGTTTCCTCATAAAGCACAATACACGATTTAACTGTTTAAGGAAAAATATATCCAAAAAGGAAAGACAACTTTTTGAAAGCATCATTAGTTTTACTAAAATTTGCTGTGAAACATACGATTTTATCTGAAATTATCTAGTTGTAGCATGCCTCCAGAAATAACATTAAAAAAAATTGAAAATTGAAAAGCAATTTTCTAAACCTACCCTAATGGCACTCCACAACCGAGCAGTTAAAAAGTCAATGGGACTCTTGTAAGTGTGTTCAACTGTGAATCAAATCAGAAAATCCAATTCAAGGAGTTCTGTCTTTTTACTTCTTAGAAGAATCTTGACAGCATACAAAATTGGAAAAGGTCATCAGACTTGCTTCAGAGCCACTTCTGCCTTAAAGTATTCACCACTCTAACTATTACTGAGTAGGGAGCACAAAGCAACAAGAATTCCTAGGGCTGCATTTTCTAAAACTCTAATAAAATAATTTACATCTTGTTTTAATGGCATTTTAAAATACTGATTTGAAACCTGCCATAGAGAGAGTGATATTCTTAGGTATTTGTCATTAAAGGCTGTGACGTTTTCAAAACCATTCCTACACACACACTCACACAGAGCTGAACTTACCTTAACCCATTAAAAAGATATCTTCAGAACCGAACGTAAACGCTCTGTCAAAACTTTTTGCAGAAAATGCAACTGTTGTGCATCTATGTACTGACAGCCAAATCCTCTCAGATATTAAAAAGAGCTAAGCAGCAATAACAGTTGTATTTCTTTAGCTTGTGGTAAAGTAAACAAGCATAAAGACATAACTCTTTACACACTGAAGTTAACATTATATAATATTGGCCACAAATTATTTTACACTGTACTACTAAAAAAGTAAAGTTCTGAATTCCATCCAATTATCTCTATATATCTTTCTATCTCTTGAAAGACAGAGAGAAGCAAAAGTAGTGCACATGTGTCTCAGGCATCATTCTAAGCCCTCTTCAGATTGCAAGCTGTCACAAAACTCTGGGCAAATTTGCAAATCCTAAGGGTTTTTTTTGTTGTTCTTTTTTTCTTTTCTTTTTTCTTGTTCTTTTTCTTTTTTTTTTTTTTTAAACTAATGGAGGGATAGATTCACAATTATTTTTTACTGAAGACTCAGACTTTGTACAAGTGGACTGCAGAACTGTATCAACTAAATCAGTTCTGGCACATCAACTGAATGCACACTAAAAAAATCTGTTTCTGCTAGTGCTTTTACCATTTTAATCAAAAAATAGTGGGGAAAAAGACACACCCTTGCCTTGCTACCATATACTCTCTCTGCTTTCTCATATAAATACTTCTTTCTTCCTTTAATAAAAGACCCTCTCTTTCTCCTTAGAAAATTGTTTAATAAATCATAAATTTATCGTGCCTCTTACTCTGTTTTCTGTCTACTCTGTAATTATGATAGTGCTTATTTTTCAGTTACTGTATAGATTCCCACGCTTCTTGATCCATTCCAGCACCACCGCTACCAAAAGAACAAGAGTTAAGTAGCATAGTGCTAAAAGCCCGAGTGACATGAATAAAGTCATCTGTACCACGATTCAGAGAAATCGTCACCAGTTTTCTTCCCCTCCCTTTTCTCTTTCCTTTCTCTTCTAGACATTTCTGTTTGTTCTTTCACTCTCATTTATACATTGTGTAAGGCAATTCCTTTTTTTTCCTATCCTTCCCCAGATCTGATTCCTCAATTTATAATTTTTTATCTTCCCTCTGAATTGTCAGTTTCTAGCTTAATTCCTGCATCTGCTACTGACTGGCTCTGTGACTCAATTCCTTTTGGAGCAAGCTCCTCAGGGCAGCCCCTGCCACTCAGTACAATCGAGCCCTGCTTTTTTCCAGAGCTTATGGCTACTCAAATAAAAAAGGAAAAATAACAGCCTGAGTCTGATACGGAAGCGTACTATTTAGTGAATTTCTACTTTACATGCCACATTAATTTCAGTCTTAATTATAAAGCCACAAGCAGCTAAATCACGCTATTTATCCTCAATATAGCCTGAGAAAGTCATTATAACATTATAAAATGAAAGCATTACATAAATGCATCTTTGGAGTTCCTGTAGTTATTATTTATATTGAATTATATTACTCATATTGAATTACAACATTTGACAAACTGCACTACCACAAGGCAAGAAGATACTCATTTGGGCAGAGGCATCACCTTCTAGTTAAGAAGCAGGAAAACCAGTAAACCACCAGCATCACCAACCCAATTTTTTTCCTCACCTGAAAAGCTTTTTGGGGCCAGGAAAATGAGCTTATCCTTTTCAAAAAGTCCTTGGCGTGTGAAAAGAAAGGTGGAGTAGGTGACAGCTTCTGTTAGGTTACAGATACGCCACTGAGCATCTCCTGATTCTTCAGTCCGCTTAATTTTTTTCTGGAAGACTGCACTGAAGACCTGAAAATAAGTACAATTATTTTCATTTATTTATTTCCAAAATTCTTGTGTGTTTGTTTTTTTACATGCAAGAAAATTGGTTTCTGACTCCAGGTTCCTCAGAAGAGACAGCTTTAGCAGTTTAAAAACGCAAGATAGTAGGGACTGAATCACATCTGCCGAGAGGCTTTGAGGAAACTTTCAGAGAGCAGGGGTGACGGCTGCAAACAGCTTATTTAACTTGCTTATTTAGCTCAGTGAGCACATCCTCTTACTCAGGAAAGCTGGTAATTTGGAAGTGTGTGACTTCCCTTCCTCACAGCATCAGATAATTTGGTAGATTTACCACCGTAAATTGTTGATAGAGAATGCTTTAAAACCGTTCTTACTTGACCTTGTAAGACAGCTTAACAAAAGGAAGGTAAACAGTACTCGCATAATCAGAAAATACCTTTTGATGGAAGCACACAACAAACAGGGATTAGTGGGAACGTACCATGTGGGAAATCACAGTGTTCTCCTTTCTCAAACTCAAGACACGCAGCATTGCAAACGTGAACATCTAGCACAAATGACAGGTAATATATTGGCATCACTGCTGGAGGCAGAATTCTGTTCCTTGCACTTTGAGACTAAATCAGCAAAATAAGCGTTTACCTTCAGTGAGAACTGGTACATGCGGGTGGTGTTGCCCCGACTATTGCTAACAAAATAAAGAACAGATGCTTTTAACGGCTGTTGGTCTGCAAGGCTCTCTTGCCTTCTCAGCTTGAGCTTCATTTTCTTTGGCTTCGGCTATAGGTAAGATGACAGTTGTCTAATTTATTTTTCAGTCCATCATGATTATCACCCAGAATTACCAGCACACTCCTATCAGTACCAAAAAGAATATGGATATACTGTAGAAAACGAATACTGTTTACCTCAGACAGTAGCAAATGTTTAAGGTACGGAGGCTTCTGCTCAGACAAATATTAGGGAATTGTTTTCTGTAGCAATGTGCCTGTTCACCTGTGACAAAACGGCAATAATATATGAATGTATTTGTTCACACTTCACGCTGTTACTTACTCCCTTTATGGGAGTGCTAACTCAAGCACCTAGCTCAAGAGGAGAAAAATGGTACGTGACAACTACACACCACAGATAAGAAACTGTATATGTCAGTAGACAGCACTTGCTGGACAGTCAGAAATTTGACAGCTTCTAATTTATAAACATTTTTCAAAAGATAATAATACATATTTTATAGGTGACTTTAAGCTGTTAAAATGGTGCAACTATTGCTACCTTGTGCTGTATTTCAGCTGCAGTTGACTTTATTGATTCAAATGTCTCCACAAGTTCTTGCTTTGGGTGTCCCAAAGCACTGAGCCTTGCAGTTCGGGCTCGTAGTGAGGGCTAGCCAGTTCAGTGTGAAGGCTGAGATGGAAATTCTTGTTGGATTCACATTCTTTGCCTTCAATCTTGATATACCTGAGAAGGAATAAAAGGGACAAGAATGGGAACCTCACTTAATAAAGGCAATTCATAAATATTCTACAGTACAAAAGATGAGTACTGTATGACCTAGGCATCACAGGAAATAGATACAAAACTTTAAGTACCCACAGCTTAAGAAAAAAAGGATGACCGAACACACCAAAACTACATGAAGAATACACAGAGCATTTTTTAATTGGCATAGTTTAATTTGCATATAGAGCAGAGACCAGGAGATTATTCACTGCTGTACTGAAGAATCTGTGGCTGAAGGGTAAACGTCTATCTTTATTACTTACCATAGCCTTAGGAAAGTTTTCAAACAAGTTTTAATCAGATAGCAGTTAGCTCTTACAATTCTTCCTTTAAATATAGTTCATCTTTTCGAACTTTCAAAATAGCCTAGCAGTAAATCCTAAAAAAAACCCCTAAGCAGATGTGTGGATTTACAACAAATTGATTGTGAACAGCAGAGAGAGAAGGGCTAGTGACTAAAATAAAAATGATTTTTAAAGGCAACCTACTAAATGATTTCTTCAAAATCAATTACTTGGCAGGGGGGAAGGGAGAGGAGAAGAGACATTTCGGGTTCACTTTTACTCATTGAACAAGAATCCTTACCAAAGAAATATTATTTCCTGACCCCTTGCCTTCAATGTCAACCTATTCCACACAGCAATGCCACTACTGCTAAAGTACCATACCAGAGCCTGCAGATGAGGCAATGTAAAGTTGGCCTCCCCATTTTTACGGAACAGGATTTAAAAAAAAACAAAATAAAACAAAAAGCCCCTCCAAAACCCCATTGCTTATAGACTACAGTGTATGCTCTGTGCATGGTCTGGTGCGAGCACGTGCCCACAGCTTTATATCCTCTACGTGCATAAGGGGGCAATACGGCAATCTTCAGCACTAAGCTATTACACACTAGCACAAACACAGTATTTTGTGTTCAGTGATGGCTGCTTTTAATGTTTTCTTCCAAGAATGGAGATCCAAACTTTAGTAACAATTTTTTATTTTAAAAGGTCTGTAGAATATTCACACAATGGAACCTATTCTCGGGTTCTGTTAATCACAGAGTGGGAAAAATAAATGTTTTGTTACAACTCTCTTGCATTTCAAGTGATATGAGCAACAACGATAAACACAGAGGTGGGAAAAACCCATTGAATTGCTTCATTTTGTAATGAATTGTGTCTTTTTGCATTCCAAAGAAATACAGCTGTTTTATCACAGTCCATGATATAGGACATAACAAAAAATGGTTTCCAAAGAAACTACTAAAGCCAAAATCTACTTTCGGTAATTTTTTCCTTCACAATCTCCTAACCCACCAGAGCAGACAGAATGGACTGTGTTAATGTGCGGTTCTCCCCTGGAACAGGCAGAGTCTCTTTCATGTAAGCTCCAGCCTTCTTTCTTAAGAATATACAAAGTAAATTAGAAAAGGATTGTTCTCCACTATTTTTTTCCTGTTGCAGTTCTCAAAAATCTTGAAATAAAGTAGCTTAAAGATTCAAAAATGTTCCCAAAACACTTGTGAAATCCTGTATAAACTTGGAAGAATAGCTGCTTTTTATTAAAAGCAAATACTAAAAATAAATAAATCTCACAAGCTAGCATGGCAGTCAAACTCTCACCTGTGAGAAGTCTAAGAATTAATGCAACATCTGGTCTCATCTGCAAAGAACTGCTTTTCCCTTGTGGATGTGCTGCCAGGGGAAACAAACAAGCTTATGATTTTCAAAGATGGCATCCGATGAAGACAAAAACTCTGGAGAACAGGAACGTGGCCTCATATTATGAAAAGGGTCAACAGTCTACGCAAAAACTTTTCTTAGCAAATACTTCCAAGCAACTCAAAATGAACAAACGTACATTTCTGGGCAGATGCTCTCCAAAATGTACTGCAACTCTAAACGGCAGAAAGTATGACAGCTTCCTATAGCTAAATGTTTTGGATCAGCTCAACAAGAATGAAGAGTGATAAATTCTTGGATAGGAAAAGGAATGGGAAACAATATTTTTCAGTATGAAGACAGAGAGATAAACACACATTTTCTCTTTCAGTTCCTGCTGCTTAAAATTAAAAGCTTCTGGAATACACTTGTGAACTCCAGCAAGTAATGTAGCGAATTAAGTTGAACAAATCAGGTGAAGACAAGTGCAGAATGGAGCTGTTACTAGGCAATCTCAGTAGGCAAACTGTTAAGTTGGTCAAACTAGTTCAGTGGGAAAAGCGCTGCCTTAAAGTTGCACAGCTGGCGAGACGTTCCAGGCAAGGAAAGCGATTGCTATAGAAAAACTGAGTGAACTGTCTTGCTGTTTCATGAATAATGGTCATGTCTCACAAGAATGGAAACTCGTTCATACAAGCTACATTTGCACATAAATCAAATTCGAAGACATCTTAAAGAACCTTGTAATAACCTAATCTTGCAATTGGAAGGACATGACTACCACTTTGTGAATGTGCAGACGATTTGAAGGAGTGTAACAGCTCATATGGACACAAATAGGAATCTTATGAACAATGAATTTTTTCCTCTATTATCTCCCATACAAGCCAGAACGACATTAGTCTATTAGAGTTAATGTTCCCTTCCAGTGATCTTGAAAACAGTGCCGGCTGGGGAAATAAGATAGGAAAACCACAGATAAAACATAAATATTAAAGCCAATCCAAACCAAACCTATTCAATAGCATCACTCCTCTTATAGCAAGCTATTGACAAAAAACTGTATACAATTGGTGCCTGTTTACACTTATGCCTTGAGTTAGCTGCTCCAACAGACCTAGGTATGTATGTGCGTTCTGAGACATTTTTGTATACGTTGCGAATAAGCTGAACCTAAATTTTACTTGATTTTCTTCTTGTGCTTACAAAAACCCATGCACTGACAATTTTGGAAACGAGTCAATTCTTTTTCTGATAGAGAAAAATTCCTAAGATATTTTAACAAAAAATTTAACATTTTCTGGCCACTTTCAACATCAGGTCACAATATAATGTATATTACAAGTCACTGAGCAGGTTCGCTAGTTCAGATAAAACAGAACAACTAGACTGGAATGCCTAAAGATTGTTAGGTTTTTGTGTATAAGACACTGAAATAAGCAGCCTGATTTTCAGAGAAATCAAATACCCATAGTTCACACTGCAAACACCCACACTGTGAGGTGTATTATACACATATATTTGAAGCTCTGAAGCTGAGATTTTTTTCTCAGTCTTCATTCAGAAACAGTATCAGAAGTCAGTGTTATAGAATCTCTAAGATTCCAATACAAGAACAATCTTCATAAACAATGAGGGAGATATACTTTTATTCTGAAGCTGCTTCACAGATCAGCAAGTTCTCTAATAGGCAGGCTAGTAAATTTGCTTTGGAAGAAGTACAAGCTGATAAATCTCCCTAGATATGCTTTTTGTCGATTGATATGATAAGATGTATTTTACTTAAAATTAGGATTGTCTGAAGCTCAGTGGATTTAATTATTTGTAATTATCCAGTTGTTGTCAGTATGTGGCCATTTTATGACAGTGGTATCTACTGTGTGGGTCAGGTTCAACTGTATATCTTTTCAAACACAGAATTAATGTACTATTGATGAAACCATTACTAGAACCAAATTAAAGTCTGGGCTGATGTATTGGTCCACAGGGTGCTGTCAGACATGAAAGGAGTAATTAGTATTCATTACTTCATACTCTGCAACATTCCAATTATTAATGAACTTCAGCTGCTGGACTGCACCATATCTATCACAAATATCTTTCTAGTCTTTCTTTATTAGGAAGGAAAAAAAAACCTCAGGTGCCTGACACGACTACTAAAATAAACAAATAACAGAAATGAAGCTAGAATGATGAAAATTTGCTTATTTGATAGTAAAGGCATATTTTTACATACATGCCCCGCAAGGGACAGTTGCTACATCTTCAGTGAGCCAGAGAATGCGAGATCATGTAATGTTGCTAAAATATTCACCAAAGGAACTTCTGTTCATATTTGAATATTTTCATATGCATGTGCGTGTGTCTGTGTGTGCATGTGTGCGGCTCAGTTGTACTGTGGGGGAGCTTTTGCTAAGGAAATGCAATGTTATATCGCTGCGACCCCTTTCCTTTTCAATCCAACCTCTTTCTACTGTTTTACATTCCTCTTTCTCTCATGCTTTAAGACTTGTTACACTACAGCATGTGGCTCCTAATTCTCTGTTAGGCCAGTATAATTCTAACTTTCAGTAAAGTTTCTCCACTCACTTTCTCCACTGCAGATTCTACAAGTCAGACTTACTCTGATCTTACTCTGAAGTACTTCAAATACTGTTGGGGAAAAATGCAACAAAAAGGAACTATTTCAAGGGGAAAAAGTGGAGGGCAAGGGCATATCTTCCAGGAGCTTTATGTATTCAAGATTTGAGCTGTTGCATATTGCTCAGATTTAGCGTGCAGGCACCTGAAAGCTGGGGGTGAAGCAGGAAGGAGAGAGAACTTGGGTAATCGGTAAACTACATACCAATTTTATTTAACAACACTTTCATATTTTCTCTCTTAATAGTCTTAAACTGTGCAAATAGTCTAAACACTTTTTGAGTAAAATCTGAGACCAGTCCAGAAATGCCTCAGGGGTATCTTTGACTTTTTATCTTTTCACAGTTTTTAACATGAAAAGTCTAGCTGTTGATGTGGTGTTTGAAAATCGGAACAGAAAGAAGAGAGGAATATTTTCAGGCTTCAAAATAAATTCACTTTCACACAGAAGACAATAGCACTGCATTTCAGTTCATGAGACGAAACATTTAACAAGGTTTACCAGGTTTACTCTCTGTAGCCAAAAACCAACATTATTCTTCAGGTTGACTCCACCTGTTACAGCCGCACTGAAGACTCAACAATCACTAATGGAAGTCTTCATGAAAAGTGATGGAGAGCACAACAGAATGAAATTCTCTTGCACCAGGGCCTAGAATATTAGCTTCTTTACTTTTCTTATTATCATCCCTGAAAATTTATTTCTAGAGGTACCTTAATTAGGTCTTAGGGATTTTTTCTTTTTGATATTTTTCAAATTTGACAACAAGTTTTCAAATTCCAGGCAAAAAGGAGGGGAGGGAATGGAAGATTCATATGCACCCTACACAGGAGAGCAGAGCATGTTTCCCTGCTTTCTTTACGCCTTGTATCACAAATGCCATAGCAGTCTTTGAAGAGTCAGCAGCAGCAGCACCACCACTGCCCCAGCCTGGCTGGTTTTGTGAACGCTGGCAGCTGAGCCTGCCCTGACGCACAGGACACCGGCAGCAATATTCATGTAAAGAATTTCCATCTCTGGCTGCTCATTTTTGCCTCATGTTGAAGCATATCATTTTTTTTCCTCGTTAACCTTTTTTTTTTTTTCATTTTTGTAACCAGTTTCTTGATTTGTTCCACAGGATGGCCCAGCAAACAGTGCAAAGTGGAGGCCTGGCTTCCTTAAACGTATATTACCGCTGGAAAACCCTGTACTCTTAAACGCAAATCTAGTTTTGCCAGTTCCAGTGCTTTCCCTTTGGCTACAGAGGCCTAAAATGGAAATGCAATGTTTTCTTTTCTTTTGGGCCAAATGATATTTGTTCCTCTTTTTGGTTGTTCCTTTTTTGAAGTAAAAAAGAAAGTGAAAGTTTTCACTTCGGGTTACGAAAGCTGAAATGTATGTCTGTATTCTGCTTCTAGTTCAATTTGAGAATTTCAGATGAACTAGTCAATCTATATTTTGAAGTGAATTTTTTTACTTAAGCAAATATAGATACAGACGTCTTAATATCCACTCTTCACTATTTTTTAGCCACTGCATTTTAAAAAGAAATAGGTAACTGACTGAAGGGTTATGAAGTAGTAAGCAAAAAAATGGCAAACAAAACAATATAGATCCAGCTGTCATGGAAAAATTCCAATTACTCAAGTATACTTACTTTCCCCTTTTAGCTGCATTTCTTCCAAGCAGGGGGATCAAGTATGGGATCAAAGGTTCATCCATGTTTTTGATTAATACAGTGCCTTCACAAGTTAAAGCTCTTTCAGTAGTCTTCAGAAAATCTCTCATGCAAAAAACCAAAAAAAAAGCCTCAAATGTTAGGTGAGTACTCGTTATAGAAAGACATATTTCTTTCATATAAAACAATTGGTGATTTTTTTCTAGAAAAATATCGGTTAAACCATGCAAAACTGCATTCACAAAGTTTTCCAGCGGTTAAGTGTGCTATGGTTTTGAGTTCAATGGCTCTACATCTATGCTCTTATTAGTACTCATATACACAAAACATATATTGTCGGGGCTTTTCTTACAAGCAAATACAAGGATCTAGCCCCACCCTGAAGACTTGGAATTGATATATAGAAGCTTTGGAGGGCATATATAACTTCCAGTTTTTCTTATTTCTTTGGATTTATACTTTTGTGTTCTAGCTTTTGATATACCCTGATCTACACAATAAACACTTCCTTAAAGGTTTATGCTCTGACAGATTTGGAAGACCGCTGTTTCAAAAGGCAATGAGAAGGTGATAGACAATTCTGGAAGAACAGGTAAGCAAACAATATATCTTTGTGCAGAAGGATACAGTAGGGTATGAATGAAAATTACAATTATTCGGTGAGGGTAGGGATTGAAAGTAAAAAAAAAAAAAATTCTGGGCAGGTAGGGAAAAGGGTTCGTTCAGAGGAGCAGACAGGATAAACGATAAATGCTTTTTTAAAAATAAGGCATTACTGTGACCGTTTACTGTGCTGTATAATTGTGTGTTGTATCTGGATTTCAGTAAAAAAAAAACTTGGGTAGCCCTTTCTACTCTTTAAAAGCCTTAAAATTGTTTAAAAACTTATGCAGCAGTTAAAAAAAATTAATGTTACTGTTTGTTTATCAGCAAAAGACCTGATATTGGCTTTTGCCTTGAATGTAATACACTAGATTGAATCTTTCCCTCTGTTTGTTGCACGCGCTGTGTCCTATAGACTAAACTATACAGTATCGGTAATGCCATATCATCAAAATTTACACTCTACCTATTGCAAAAGTGTGCATCTCAGCTTCCACTTTATTTCCTTCTCAACATTCGCAAAGAGAGCAGCAAATGGTCCTCTTTCAAGCCCCATTTTAAATGGAAATGATACGATGGATAAACAAGCAGCGGCACTGTAGTATTTCAAGACTGTTCAGGTAAGGGCATTTCAACAAACACCAACCCCTTTCCGAAACCAGGGGAACTTCAGGGCAGTAAATGTGAAAGCCAATTCTTCAGCAGGCACATACCCTTTCTGTCCTAAACATATGACTTTAAGGTCAGCTCTGTATTTGTTCTTTATCCATTTAATTTGCTGTTGCTGGGGATCTATCATGAGAGGCCAGCGCTTGCAGTGCGTTAGGAGAGCGGCATTTGCTGCTGACACTCTGTCACTGGGCAGCCCCTCACTCCACGCTGCGATCGTAGCATCATCAGTCAACACAGCAATCAGGTCCAGGCCTTCGGTTACGGGAACACGAACCTTTGAATCAGAGCAGAATACAATAATCCAGCAAGGCTGCAAAGTAGCAGGACATGACCCAGGGCAAGGCACAACGTAACCGGGCTGATATAAATTAAAAGCTGTTGGGCAGAAAAGTAAGGAGGATCCCTGTGGCCTATCAGATGCAAAAGAATATGCCAGGAAATGTGATGAGGAGCTCTTTATCCTACTTATCATGGGTTTAAAAAAAGGGGAGGGAGTTTCCTTTAAGATATTTATTTCATAAAATCTATTCATAGTTTGGTTAAATTAAAAAGAACTTACAGTATAAATTTCAGTATATATGTATTCTGATATTGCGAATTCAGTGCTCACGTATGCTCTTGAACAGGTATTTCTAGAACATAGATCAGCATTTATCTACACAAAAATTATAAACCAAGGAGCTACATAGCAGGATTCCCATGGTCTTTTATTAAAATAGTTCAGTTATGTGTTAATAAGGTCACCTTCAAAAGATGGAGAGCAGGACAATCTCCAGGGGCAGGGGCAGCCTTGGAGCTCCTGCAGCACCAGTTGTGGCAAGGTGCTGGTGGTAGGAGTGCCTGTTCACTGAGAAGGAAGCTGTGGTCTCCACATATGCTAAGGCACTCATCAGATAACCACACCTGCTGGGTACTAACGTGTCGCAGGCATTTACAGAAAGATGAAATCAAAAAGAAATAAAACATCTGAAATCAGTCCTTCCTGAAAGGAATGCAAATGCCCAACACAAAAGACAGCAAATAATTCCATCATTTGGAAAAAAAAAAAAAAAAAGAAGGTGTTTAGTGGAAACATAGAAAATCTATACTGGTCTACACTTCCGTCGCATTTTTCTTCCTTGTTAGACATGTATAGTCCTCTGCGCTAGCAGTAATTTTGGAATTCTTTTAAAAGTGCACAGTAAAACCCCAAAAGCATGCAAATCTGTGGTTACTTATACAGGAAGTTATTGCATCTATTCATGCTGAGCCAAATTTGCACATTTATTAGCCTTAATAAGAATGCACCGTACCTCCAGTGCAGTCACTGCAGCAAGAATCGTCTGTTAGACAGTTTCCATACTATTGCAAAATACTTCCTTAAAACTTCCTATTACTATTGCAAGACACTTCCTTAAAATTGTCTAAACCTTTATTATAATCACAGAGCCCAAAATAAAATAAAAGTTTGATGAACTTGCTGAAAATCCAAGCACAGAAGGAGCGAGAGACATAAACTCCTGTCTGCATGCATATACATAATACATTTACCTCCTGTCTGCAACACATTTTTCTAAACATACCGGAAGACTGAGAGTAAACATTTATTTTTGACATGACTTCCTAAATGCCTTTCTCTCTTCTTTTCAACTCTTCCCCAACTGCAGGAAAACAATCAAAACTAAGTTGAGGTATTTAATTAACTACTGTTCAGTGAAACGATCTTAAAAAGTACAAAGTTATAGTATGAATTATTTTTATTTAGAAAAACATACAATCCATTTCAGAGAATCCCTAAAGGAATTAAGAAGGATGTTTGCCTAAAGGGTCCTACTATCCAAGATAAATAAACAGAGCAAAAGAAAAAATTAAATATGAGAAACACATACATTATTTTTTCTACCTATCAGCATGAGGCTGTGCTGTAGAAGATTTTTCAAAAGGACTTTATTTGCAAACAAATTTTTGGCAGAAAAGGCCAGGTAGATGTTCCAGGCAAAAAAAAAAAGCTCCACACAAATTAGCGATCATTAAACTGTGGCAAAAAGTAGATAACAACAAAAAGATGCCCCAGCAGTCTCAGTGCTGTCCTCAGGAAGCCTGGGTTCAACTTTAACCATATATTTCTAGAGTGTCCTCAGGCAACTCTGCTAGCCTGCCGTGCCTTACCTCTCCAATTTAAAATAGGGATAACAGCTCCATACCTTGCACACATCAGAGAATAAGCTACCTTAATTGTGAGAGAATATGGTGATTTGTGACACACTGGAAATATTAAACAAGTAGGAAGAGGTCAGAAGCATTCAGAGCAGTAAGGAAGACCAGAACAGTCCAAAGCTTCACGAAGAAGGATAAGAAAGGAAGGGCTGAGTGATACAGAGAATAATCCAGTATGGAGGGTATAGCAACAGCGGGATTTGAAGAAATTTCATGCTCGTCAAGCCACATCCTATTGCAGCCATACTATACCAGCAGCATTCAAGAGAGATGAACAAAGGGGCAGTATTTGGTGAAATGTTGAGGTGTGAGGCATGCACCCAGGAGGCCAGAGTAACATGCTGCAACAGCCAGGAAAAAGTATTGTAGAGACAACTCTACTCTCTGCCTTTTTAAAATCTTATCATGGTATCCTCCACGTGCAAAGAAAAGGGGACTTTTGTAACTACTCACTTCCTGGAGCAGGAAAGTTAAGCAAAACAGAGCTCTTTACACCATTGTACTACCACTTATAGCATTTGCTATTACACAGGTGTCACAAAGGGCAGAATTTGACATAGCGATTGGAATAGGAAAGAATTTTCATTTGCCAAAGAGAAATCATTCCCTCTCTCCCATTCCCCTCAAAATGGGCCTGTAATCTGAGGAAAGCACATACACTAGAAAACAAATACTGAACTGCAAAGGGTATTTTATAGCCACTTCTAAATATAGACCTGTAGATCAAATTTTTGAAAGACAGAGACTTTAACAAACCAGATTCTTCATTGGAGACTTCTGTTTTGTACAGGAAATTTTACCTTTTGTGATTTTAGAAAAGGAACCCAGAGATGGTCCATCAGTTCCTGGTAATACTGTTTTGTGAAAGGTCCAATGTAAGACACAAATACGGCTGTTAATAGGACATCACCACATAAAGTCTTCTTTTGTGCCTTGACTTTATCAACAGATTGGCTCCAATGCGTGTTTTCAGACTGCAAAGCAAAATTAGAAAGTGTTGTGAACAAACATATATTAGTCAACACCTGAACAACTTAAAAGTGACAAAACAGTTAATCTCCAAATTCAACAAAACCACACTAAAGCACAATAGAAAATGTACTCTATTATAGTGATGGATAAACTTACTAAGACTATAAGGCTGAAAATAATCCATACTTTTTGGTGGCGAGTTGAATCTTTTGAGTCTGAAAAATTAAAAATGGGCTCTTCATTAAGCATTCTATTTCCTTCCCTTTTCCAAAATTTTCAATAATTCTTGATTTTATTTAGACCAGATATAGTGTGGCAGTAGGGTCTTGTGCAAACAGTATTCATTTTCAGCCACGTTCAGAAAAGGCAGTGCGAAGAATCAAGAATATTAAAAAAAAAGACGTTGACAGAGCTGTTTCAACCCCAATAAGGAAATGAATTTTTTTTTTTTTTACACTTTTTTCAAAGGAAGGGGTCAGGTGGGAGAGTTTCAATGTTTTCTTTCCCCTTCTTATTTGCCCAGCATGTTTTACCTATGCTTATAGAGATTTTACTGAATTAAGTAATCACCTTAAGAATTAATTATTAATAACGAATAATAATGATTTGGAATTCACAAACTTCACCATGCTTTTGGTACTTGCATACATAAAAGTAATACTTATGAGAAGAAAATTGAATGAGGGCCAAATATTCAGAAGAAATAGAGAGGAGAAAAACCACAACAGCATGAGTAATGGAGGGACTGATCTTACACTTATGGGATGGCCAGCACAGTTGCAATCAGTACAAACATTCATACTGACATCCTGGCATGGTTGAAAGGGAGAGGATGGCATGACATTCTCCAAAACGGAACATGTTTAACTCCGGAAATTTCTTCCTCCGTTTTTTCCCCCGCCAGAGAGACCTGGTTTCTGAAATCCCTAGTGCATTTGGCAGAGTTCGTTTTAACCACTATTACCCGGGAATATTTTGAATGGATAGTCTGGAACACACTTAGATGTTAATGGTTTCTTATTAGTAGATATATGGAAAGCTGTTATTTTATTCCAGTTAGTGTAAAGACAATGCACTGCCTATTTAAAATGTTGAAACCAAAGAATTTCAGAGAAAAAGCATCTGATCAAACTGATTAAATTCTAGATGTAAAGTTGAAATACACTGCCATAATCCCTCTTCCTTATTTGTACAGTTTGAAATGCCTGTAAAAATATTTTCTTAAAAGTATGATTCAGGATAAAATAAATGTTGTTTCACTGTTTGTTCATTTGCACATCGGGGGAACTCAGGAAACCATTCTATGGTGAGCAGAGGGACTCAAGTACAGGAGAGGACAGCAAGACAGAAGGAAAGCACACTGATGAACAGCTTACAGGGACTCTCCTTTACCCACAGTCTGTACAGAAAGTTATTTTTCATAGTGACAAAATATTCAAAATATGTTTTCCAGTCCTTTTCATGATATAATCAAAATTAATGAGAACCGCTGAATATAAAGCATCCTCCATACTTCAACTACTTCCATGTAGCATGCTTCAGTTTGGCTGGTACTAGCCACTTGAGAGCTTAAGAAAGTACTCTGAGATGTGTTCACTCTTGAAAGACTGACATGTACCAAATCAATCTTTTAAAATAACCATCTTTCATTTTTAAATAAATAATTTCTAGATGCACAAAACTGAACTAATAGAAAAATTGTTAACATTTGATATTTATGAAGTATTTTCCATTTATATTTCTCAGAAAAATCAGAAATGTTTATTGAAATGATTAACCATCCTATCCTGAAGAAGCAGAAGCAGAGTTCTACAATAACAGAAGACTAAAACGCTTTGTATATAAAATGGGAATATAAAATACCCACAGAGAAAACAGAAGTATCTGTAATTAAAATACAGTGCTTAGAAGAGTTAATATTTACACTTTTTCGTACTGTTAATTCAGGAAACGGAACTCAATATGTGTAAAGGCTTCCTTTTAAATCCCAATTACATGCATAAGAGATGCCCAACAAATGACAAGTAAAGGACTCCTGTTAAAAGCTCTAACAGCGACCTTTGTAATGCAGCAGTTTTTTTTGGAAGTATTTTAGATATGCAGCTTTTTCTACAGAACTTGTCTTCTTTAAATCATTAACTGAAGGCAACAAGACAATAAATCCATTAATTTACAAGAGGGCTTTTTGATTTATCCATTCTCTCTTCTTGTTGTCACCGACTGGCAAGTCGTAAACAATAAAGAGCACCCACCTCATTCTCCAAAATAGCTTTGAAATTTGAAGATTTACTAAACATAGAATGAACGTCTATTTAAATCTTCAGTAATTTTACCCTACCACCCAAGCACCATAAATCACTAGCGACATTGGCTAACAAGGGTTTAAGAGTTGGAACATGCAGTGTAATAAATTTCCAGACAGTTAAAAATCACTATAATTTTATTCTAATGCATTATAGATTGCCTGTAATGTCATCCTGGCCAGGGTGACCCATTTCTAATTTTGAACAGCTGTTCAGCTCGGGAGTTAGTTAATGATTAAATATAAATTGCCTGATTTATTAGTCTGAATGGTGGAGCTTCCAGGTCAATGCTATATAGACAAAATCATCAGTCTTGATGCTTTTCAGAAGTTAACTGTCTCCTGTTGTAGTCAAAAAGAATTTATTCTCAGAGGAAAAGACTTGACATTCTCAATTAATCCTTTTAAATATCTTCCCCCTTAACTTACACAATAAGATCACTAATAAAAACCCTCAGATCTTGGAGAAAAACTTCCTTGAACTGTGTATATAAACCTTCAAATCCAAGACCCAGAGACTATCTGTGTGGCAAAGGCCATTGAGTTTCCAGTGACTCTGGGAATCTGCAGGGTCAAGCAAATAACAACTGTCTAAGCCGAGTTTTGGGGAGACCAAAACTTTTCATATGCAGATAATACAACACACCAGCAATTTCACTGTTTTTCTAGCAAAGCAACTCTTCATATCCTCTACATTTCTTGGCATATTGATTTTGGAATCAGGTATCATAAACTTACCAGTTTTAAATGCATTGGAGTTTTTTAGATAGTTATAAACTCTTATAATACACTGTTTTCCAACCTTGTTTTATCTTCTTGATTGCCAACATCTACCGACAGATTTGCAAAAATAGAAGTATTCCTTTTGTGATCTTAGAAAAAGAGGTCACAGGGATTTTATGAAATCCAACTTAAAATATTTAAGAAAAATCTTTTCAGACTATCTTGGAAATTCATGCAAATGAGTAGTGTAAATATCCTTTGCGCTTCTGAATTCCTGTTATTTATCACAAAGGAACGTGTAAAATTCTAGATGATGCACCGAGACAGCATGATTTCTGTAAAGACTTAAGGGAGACTGTACAGCAATGCTGTGGCTTACTTCAATGGTTAGTTTCAAGAAAACCACTGAGTATGTGCTAGCTTTAACGGTGTTTGTCTACAAATTAATAACTACACTGGAATGTATGTAATTTTAGCATAAATATATTTTATTCATAATTAAAAACGGATGGTTTCTGCAAAAGGATAAACAGCTGCAAAAACAAACAGCTAATATATGGCTGGTGCCTTCCACTTATTTACAATCCAAGTGCAATGGGGGCAGACGCAGGGTCTGACCTAGAGGATTATTCAGTTTTTCTGCTCATTAGCTAGAGGCAGCCCGGGCTGTCAAATGTGTTCACAGTTGTGCATAACTGTGGTGACTTAGTTACGGAGGCATTTCTCTACCGACCATACCAATACTGGCCACTCAGAAGTACACAATTTGTTGGGAACTGCTGAATATATCCATCAGTTCTGGTGCAGTACATTTCACTTCCTAGGACTTCATTACGGGTTGATTTTTTGTTTGTTTGTTTTGTTTTTGTTTTCCTCCCTGCACTGATTTAAATGATTTTGCAGCAGGGTTACCTTGTCATTCCCCATTCCCCTGCTTTTTTCCCTCTACTCTCTTTTCAATAATTTTTAAAGCTTAACCTAAAGTTTAAGCAGCTTATTCCAAGTATTTCAAAACACACACTGGCAAGAACATCCAGGCAAAATATTCTTACCTCAAGTCCTTTGACCAGCCTTTGGCCAGCTCAGTAGTTTGGTTTGTTCAGTTCATATCATCTTGACTTCGGACTGTCTTTCCAATTGCTTTCTTGAATGAAGCTGTGAGCTGACACAGATTGCTATCCAGATCCTGTTCAGAAAAGTGATGGTTAAGCTATTAGTTTTTATATATTTTAATGACAATATTTGTAAATAGCATCTTTCAGACTGAATGATGCAAACTTTTGAGGAAAGGTTCTGTGGTACTCTACGTTGTCTCTACGGCTCCTGCTACGATTTAGAACAAAACTATCATTAGAATCCCTTACTAAATATCCATTTCAATAGTAGAGATCAGGTGCTCGAAGATAATTTTGAGAGGAACGTTTCTGCTTGAGGACAATGACTTGTAAACAGTAGGATCTAGAGGTCCCAGACAAAACCAGAAGTTTATCATGCTAGATTCAATACTGACATTCGAGGACATTGTTGCTGTGTTTATGCTTTCTAAAGCATTTAAAATCATACCAGAGAGGAAAAAAAATGCAGTAAGTGAATTATTTCCATTTGGTGGACTGGACCTGATGCCGTAAGAAGATCCGGCAATTTGTCTTTGGTTTTACTAGCAGCCGAAAACAAGGCACATCTCGGGCATGCCAGTCCACACTTTAATCAAAGAGCAACAGTTTCAAGGCATCCTGCACAAAGGGCAGCAAAACGCCCTACCACTGCTTTGGGGGATTTCACAGTGAGTGCACCTCAACTCTGTAGCAGCCACTGCCCCTGCAAATTCCCTGGCTTAAACTGTCCTATGAGTTGCAAGAAGCATAAGCAGCACAGCAGAGAGTTGCCCATCAGCAGAAGGGTGTTTGGGTGATGGACAGAAGCGCATAGGGTTCCTTCTCCTGACCCAAGCACGGCTGGCGAGACTGATTCACTCTCAGCATGGCAGGCTGGGGAGGCAAGTGTCTGCTTCCTTAACTTCAAGGGGCTGTTAAGGCATCTTAGCTCCTGAGCTCAGAGCAAGATATCATCAATCATCGAAGCAAAAAATTGTTCACCTCTACTTATTAACCTGAAGCAGCTGGGGATTTCTGGAGAGATACGGACATTAGCCCACCACCCTTTAGTTTTCAGTTTTCGTCACTCATGTCATGCAACTGGTGTTTTCCTGATCTGCAGTTTTTTCTTTAGATCATCTTAATTGAGCAGTTAAGAAAACATACCATTTTTAGATAAAATCATTTAAAATTTTTTCTGTTGATGCCTACTTGAATAAAACAGCTGAGAAACACTTGGAAGAAGAGCTATATTATTATCATTGTTGAAGATTCAACTCTCACTCCTTCTGAAAAAGTCTTAGAAAGAGGAAAATAATCAGTCAAGAGTCAAAGCTAACCACTAAACCAGAGAGGAAAAAAAAATTTAGAAGTTTCTTCTCCTTGTGAGAATAAAAATTCCAAACTATTGCTTTTGTTCATCAAAAATGAACATAAAAAGAAAAACATTCAAAACACTTATCTCAGTTTTCCCTCTTATCAGGAAGATAAGCTTTTACATCCTTTCCTACTTGTCAGAAGAAAAGAGAGTATCTTCCATCCGTCTTAGCAAACCAAAAAGTCCCATTGAAAAGAAAGGTGTTAAAGTCAGGTTTCTGAGTGGTGGAAACTGATGTTAACAGTTTAGAAAGTATTAGTTTTACAAATAATCAGATAAGACGGAAATCAAGTGCAAGAACCGAACTTGAAAGACCATTAAAAAAAAACCCAAAACAACGCAGGCTGTGGCAGGCAAGTTTCCCAAAACCGTTTCCTTCCTCTAGAGGAACTTCAAAACTAACAACTGTAAGTTCCACTTTAGAATAAACATCTCCCATTCTCAGGTTTAATGGAAGAACCATAACAAGAGCGACACAGAACAGATCCACAAAGGTTCAGAAGTTTTCCAGAAGAAAAGATATAGTCCTCATTTCCCGAGTTCAGTGCTTGGATTGGTTATGTTCAACCTGTAAATTTCAAAGTAATACATAAATTAAAAATAAGAGCAGTATAATGCATTAGGAAAGGGGAAAAGATGAAATTACAAATTACAGTGTAATAAAGAAGCTTGGCTTGATTCCTTCAGAATAACGAGGCAGCCAATCAATTTTTTAATGGTGATGATCTTAAACTGAGAAGGCAAAAAGGACTTCTTCCCATGAAGCAGTCTGATGGAGATTAGCTATAAGTAAAATGTGAGCGAGTCTAACATGCAAGATATAAAGTGAATGAACACAGAAATTGTTCTTATCTCTTTTCTTTTATAAATGCAGAAACTGAAGGAACTATTATTTCTACACATCTAAAGTTTGCATGTGTGATATCATACACCTGATGGAGGTGTATGTTACAGAGGTCAGGTTACAGAGTGAAATTATAGGATGCTGCTAAGGAAATAAACAGGAAGCAAAAGAATGTCAAAGCATCACTGGCAAAAATGGGAAAAAACAATGGAAAATGCTAATGTTTGCCTGACCTGATGCAGCTAACAGGTTAATTTTTCTGAGCCTGAGCTTTAATCAAAGGGCACTCATCTATCAAAGACTCAAAGGTAGTAAGGATGGCAAGAACATTTTTCTGCAGTGGAAAAAACACTAAGGAATGCCCCAATATCTTGGGTTTTTGAAATATAATATTCTCCTGTCCTCTCCTGTATTTTCCTGAATAGGAAAGGTGTAATTACAAACACATCATTCCTGTTTGTAATTTTTTCATATGATGCAACATAAAGTATAATGGTAGCAACAGAAGGATTACCTATTGCATTTTATATCCAAGTACTCTAAATTCTATGGGATAACGCACACATTTTGAAAACACTTATTACTGAGAAAGTTAGCGCCAGGGATTTACGCTCCTTAACTGATAGCAGAAAGCCAGTAATCTCTATAGCAAGCCTGTCAGATCATGTCCCTGCATAATCTTTTTCAGAAACAACATGTATATTCACTGTATTTAAGTGCCTTCAAATGTGGTAACAGTGTTAATGGATGAGCTGAATTTCTGCTTTATTTTTGGAATCATAAGATGATGTAGGCTACAAGGACCTTTGGAGGTGACGTAGTGCAACTGCCTGCTCAAAACAGGGCTAATTTCAAAGTTAGATCACGTTGAGACCATTTCATTGATTGGCTGATCAGGCTGAAAATCTCCAAGAATACAACTTCTGCAGGCTGCCTAGGTAGGCTCCGGTGCTTAACTGAGCTCTTATGGTGAAGAGCTTTTTCATTATGTCCGAACAGATTTTCCCTTGTTACAACTTGTGACTGCTGCTTCTTGCCTTTTCATTACTCTTTCATTTCATAATGCCCATTTTGATTTCTCTAGTCCAGAAACAATTTCACTCTCTCATACATTTTCCCCGCAAATTAGTCTTGTTACCTAGCTTTGAATCCCACCTAATTCTTTATGGCCTTTCTGAGCTGAAATAGCCATTCCTGCACAGAAGTTTTCTCCTGAGGCTGTGCACTGAAGCTCTCTGTGTTCTGCATTGGGTTTCATCCCATTCCTAATACAGCTGAACGTCCTCGTTTTGACAGCTGGAATTTGAATAGAAGTCTTCTTCAAACTGCCCCCAGTCAGGCCAGGTATTCTTCCCTGAGCTAATAAGCAATAAACAAGAAGTATTCATGAGCAGTGCACATTTTTCCTTCCAATATGTATTATTTTGCATCATCAGGAGTGAATTTCACCAGTTATAGTGTTCTCCATTCAATAGCTTCATGAGCTCTGGACTTTATTATTGTTACAGTATCTCCCATGGAATCAAAAATTTTACCTATGGCTCCTTAAAAAAGTTCATCAGGTTGATCATCTATTGTAAGAATCAGTTATAAAAACAATAACTTTAACTGAATCTTCTGGCTTTGTAAAAAGAAGCCTGGCCAAACATAAAGTATGGATTTTCTAGAGTGGTTAAGAAAAATACTCATATTAAATGACAATGTGACAACTCTTGCCCTAACACAGGAAACAGATAACTGCAGAGGGAACTATAACTTAGTCTGTGGTGCAGAATTCTTCCTACTAGGAACTCAGCATAGCTGAGAAAATCCTTCTCCTAACGATCTGTAGAAAAATCCGCAAAGAGATGAAAGAGGAAGTAAATAAATATAAAAAGACAGGGCCAGATTCAAAGCTGGAACCTTATTGAACTGAAAGAACACTTAAAATAAGAAAGGGTTCTTTGAATTGCTGCCAGGCAAGGAATAGAGAAAGCATTAGTGCTGCTCTCTGAAGAACACATTAAAAAATAAACAGAAGACACCACGACATTCAGAGGTGATTGCTGTGTATTAAAAAAATCATTAAAAGGCTATTTTTGTACAAAAAGTACTTGCAATTCTTAATACATATACATCTGTCAAGATGAGTCAAATAAGAAAATGATCTTCAGTAAAGCTATATCTTTCAGTGTATATAGGAGCTTTACTAAGGCAGATGCAGCTTTGATCTGAATGGAGAACTCCAAGACCAGGGCTGTATCATACGGGGCAAAATAAATACTTTTCCAGCCAGTTTTTTTGGGAGGGGGGTGCAGGAAGTAGAGGGGGACAGAACAGGAAGAGAAATGGTAAAAGCTATCTTTGTTTACCCATTAAATCTTCATCTGCTTCAGAAGAAGGAAAGCTGTGTACAAGGTTAATTGGAGGAATAACAGGAAACCACTGAAGGAAAGAATGAAATTTGCTGACACCTCAGCTCTCCAAATTCTGAGTTTTAGTAAGAGTAAATCTTGCCCTGTCTCCTACTTGATACCTTAAGAGAAAACAGTGAGTGTAATCCCCGTAATTACAAATAGTTTCCATTTGCTCAACCTTCATATATTGCTTGTTATCTCAAGTTGTGAGATTTCAGGCCTAAACACTAAGACTTTTTTTTTTGTTATTAAGTCTAGTCAAAGCCTTCTAAAACCAGCGAATGCCTTGCCTTCTGAACTGTTTAAAGTCTTGTCTCCTAAGTCCAGGTAATTGGCTTGCAGTAAAGAAACAAACTCCTTCCACCCACCATCTCCCAAGATACCACAAGGTACCTTTGTCTGTTTCAAGAGCACTTTGTGTTGCAGGTTGCTCCATTAAAGGAATAATGAATAAACAACAACAACAAATAATGG